AGGCCGCCATCCTCTGGGACGCCGCTGGCGCGGAGCGGGGCCAGGCCTCCCCAGAGCCACGGGGAGCAGGCGGCGTTCCGGAGGAGTCCTGCCCACCCAGCTGGAGACAGAGGTGCTTGCACACTCGATCCTGGCATCCATTTTAGTAAGTGCCGGTTACAAAGCCTCCCGAGCCCTCCGCCACACTTGCCGGTGTGCACAGAACGGCCGCCCCCACCTGCAGCCAGCTGCTCGGTGTTTCTGGAAAGCCCAGCCGTCCAGCCAGCCTGAGCTGCCGCCCCGAGTCTCAGTTCGCAGCCCTGGGCCTGCTCTGTAGAGCTGTGGGCCAGAGTAGAGAAGCAGCCCCCCACCCCACACAGGAGCTGGGGCACTCCATGGGCGCCCTGGGGGGGCTTCCAGTCCCGAGGGATGCCCCGCAGAAGCCACCAGGCTCTGGGGAGCTCTGGCGCCTAAACTCCAGCTCCCAGGGTCCGTGCATGGGAGCAAGGCAGCACTTAGAAAGGGACACCAGCAGATTCTGTTAGCCTCGTGACAGCCAGGGGCACCCCCGACACCGAAGAATGGACAACTGGCAGATCCCCAGGCCCTCGGCCTCCCTGCAGCTCCCTCTCCCATCTCTAGTCCCCCCCAGGAGCAGGAGACCCCAATCCCGGCCCTCCTTGTCAATCTCCTCCCCATCCCTCGGCCGTCACCCGCGGCACTCTGGGTGACAGGTGGCATTCTGTGGAGGTCATTAACTCCTGAGCGCCACATTTTAATGCAGAAAGGAGCCCTTCTCATTCGGCGCAGCTGTGAAGCTATATAAAGAAATGGGGATTTTAATGTTTTGCTTTTCTTCCCTTTTCTAGTGCCACATTATCATAACATTTCCCTATAATTACGCCCATAAAAGTCACCTGAAAATACTTCATGCCACAAAAGTTGATCTACACACGTCATTCCCTGAATGTCGAGTGGCGAGTCCCGACCAAGATCTTCTAGGGTGGGATTTAGCCGGGAGCCCCGAGCCGAGCAGACCCGGCAAGCCCACGGCGGGACGCAGCCCCCTTTTTGGGATCCGCTGTCCTCTGTCCTCACGGGCAGGAGAGATGCTGGAGACACTCCTGGGAGGACTGACCAGGGCTGCCTGCTCCCGGACACTGTTCCCCAGCACGCTTCCCCAGGGGTCTGTGCTCAGGAGGACACTTCCATGGGCGAAACCCCCTTACGTCGCTGACGCCTGGGCATCCGGCTCAGCTCGCATAAATCCCACAAGCAGAGGTGACTTGTCTTTAGGAAGCTGAAAGAAACCATCACCACAGCCTCTCCAGCCAGGAATTCATCAAATAAAAACACACGGGAGAAAAGAAAGAAAAAAAAAAAAAACCCACAAAACCAAAGAGCCCGAGATGAGACAGAAACCTCTAAATGGCATCACTTCATTAAGCCCAGTATTTTCGAATTCACCTCTCCAAGAACTCCAGAAATAAAATTTGAACAGCGGGAAAGTAGCACATTCTAATCTCTCCTAACTACGCAATAAATTGTATTTATAAAGAAAATGCGACAGTACAGAGCCTACGCTCGGTTAGTGTCCTAATGGATTAAAAACAATTCAGAAGTTGGTAACTTCTCATCGTCGCAGCTGAGGACATGAGATTTAACTCAAAACTACGAGTCAATTTTGGTGGGATCCACTGGGGAAAAAAAAAAATTCCACGTCAGCAATATCTGCACGCCGGGACCGTCCGCCAAGCCGTTCGCTGCGGGGACAGCACAGAGCTTCCCACCTCGGACTAAAGACCGCACACAAGCGTCCAAGTCAAGGCTTGGACACGACCCCTCACTAGCTCCTCGTGTTCCCCATCCCCCTCGCTGGCCGGTGCTGTAAGGCAGCGTGGAAAGACGACCACGTCCTCCGCGACGGGCACCCCAACACAGTCACGGCCCCCCAGTAACCCAGCCGGCGGTGCCAGCTTCGGAGAACCACATCCACCCTAGCCAAGCCCTCTGCTCCAGATCGGCCAGGGGGCCAGCGGCACACACGGCTCCTTCTGAGACACAAAGAAAGAGGAAGGACTTCCAACTTTCTCCCCCAAGCTCATCATCCCCGAGCCAGCCCTGCCGCCAACAGGACGTCTGCAGGCCACCGAGTGTGCGGCTTGGGGACGGCCGCCAAGGACCCCCTTCCTCTTTCCGCTCTTCCTGGCAATCGCTCCCCAATGGGAGAAAAATGACAAGACCTTGTCACTATAGCAACTAACCTAATTGGTGGGCTGCAGGTCTCTCTCCGGCCAGAGGGTGGAGCCCAGCTCCTTAACTAGGAGCCACCGCGGGGTCCCCGTACCACATCCCCGCACGGAAAACCAGGCCAGGAAATCACCCAGTTTCCCTCACGCCGCGCCTGAAAGTGCACACCTTGTGTGCTGCAGAGAAATTCTCAGATTTAATAGGGAGGATAATTGAATTCTATATGACGCTTATCAGTTTCCCTAATTAATATGATCCAAATATATCTGCTCCATAACACAGAAACATTCTGGGTAATAAAAATCCTGACTGATAACAAAAACAATTTACAAACAAGGATGCTAACGGTTCTTATTCATCCCAGATATACTGGAGAAGAAAATGGAAATCATAAGAACTGTTTCATTTGCATTTTACTTGCTTTACTAATTCTAAAAAAAATGCTTTTTTTTTCCTGCAGGACTGCCGTTCCACGCTATAAATTATTATGTCTATTTTGTATTTTAGTAAAATGTTTTAATTTCTCCAAGTGCATTTCCGGTGAAATGGGGTGTGTCTGCAAACGTCTTATCTTATTGCCAATTATTCCGTTACGTGGAAACAGCAACAGCCATGAAAATGTGGTTAACCCAAGCTTTCATTGTTAATGATTTCTACCCTTCCAAATAAGACATTTTACCAAATGTCCTTGTCCTGCTGGAAGATTTGTTTCCAGAACACCAGGGAGGCTGCTAAGGCCGGGCTGAGCGTGTGGGTGGGGATCTTGGGTTCCACGGTGTGTCTGGGCGGTGGGCTGCAGCTGGGCTGTTTTCTGACCCCGGCCTGGGGCGGGCAGCAGTCCTGGGACAGGAGGGGCGGGGTGATGTGCAGGTGCAGGTGTGGGGAGTGCAGTGGGTGGAGGCCGGGGGCACTGACAAGGTGGGAGCCGGGGAGGCCTGGGCTCGCAGTGGGGGTGTGGCGTGTGCAAACCACCGCCAAGGCGTCCTACACTTAACCGTCCGTGGTTGCTCTTTTTCTCACCTGAATCGCCGCTGCTTCCCCGCCCAGGTGCTGTCCTGAGTTCTCCCCTGGGACCCATGGACCCCGTCACCGGCGCCAGCCAAGGACAGCAGCCCCAGGGGAGGCCCAGGGAGCTAGTCCCCTTCCTAACACTGCTGGATGCGCCCCCGCTGACCCCACGCCACCAGGAAGAGCATTCACATGGCCCCCAGGCGGTCCTGGGACTTTCTCTCTCATCAGCTCTATGCACATCACCAAGGAACCCTGCGAATGCCGCTGGAGGGCCGAGATGGCCTCGGGGAGCCAGGGGACCCATGCAACCATAGCTCCAAGGCCCAGCTCCAGCCCCCCCAGAGGGCCCAACGAGTGCTGGCAGTGCGTGCTGGGCAGCTCAGTCACGACCCTGCTGGGGGCCTTCCCGCCTGGCGTCCCCTCCCCGCGGGGCGCCAGCCGTTGCCTGCGATTGTGGGCGATGCACAACGGGGTGGAAGAAGTAGGGCCGTGTCTGCTGGGGCACCGGTGTCCTCGCGGTTCCGGCGGGCTGGGCTGTCCCAGGACTCGGAGACCCCTCCGCCGCCCGGGGCTCCGTGGTCCTCTGTGGTCTCCTTCCGGGGGCAATGGAGGGCTCGGACTGCCAGCGGGAGGCTGGGACTTGGAGGTGGTGGCGCGGGAGCCAGGCGCGGCGCTGGCCTCTTTTTTTTTTTTTTTTTTTTTTTTTAAGAATCCATATTTTTCCATCACCTCCCGCGCCCATGGCAGTTCTCCATGACAGGTGTTCCTCAGCGCCCGTCCTCTCCTCCCGCTACGACGGGAAGGGACCGGGAGCCTGTGCCAGGCGGCCGGCCGGGGAGCCGAGCAGCCCGCGCCATCCCGGCCCCCGAGCCTGTGCCCAGGACCCTGGCCACTCCCCGCCACCCTGGCGGGCTGCGAGTGTGCGCCCGGCGCACTGACCACCCGCCCCCACCGCAGCCCGGGGCTGCTCCCGGGACTCCGGCCACCCCCCCACCACCCAGCCCACCCCCGGCCGCTAACCCCGGCCGCCCCCGAGCCTGTCCCCGTCCCCGGTCCCCCACACCCACCCGGCCCCGAACCCGCGGCCCCGCTCCAGACCAGCTGGGTCCGGGGCTCGGAGCCCCGGACCGACTCAGGAAATGCCCGCGGCGGCGGCGGCGGCGGGTCCCTCCACGCACCCCACCCCTCACTTCTCTTTTTTAAGGACGCGCCTGGCGAGTCGGCTTCCCCAGCAGGCAAGGCTCCAGCCGCGCGCCCGACCCGAGCCCCGCTCTCGCCGGGGACACCCCGCTCCCGGCCCGGCCGCCGCGTCGCCCCCCGTCCCCGGCCGGAGTGTCGCGGGCGGAGGGCGCCGAGCAGGGCGCTCCGCCGACATCCCCCGCGGTGCGGCCCGCCGGCCCCGGACCTGCCGCCGCCTCCGGAGCGCGCGGCTCGGCTCGGCCCGCCGGCCTGGGCCGGGAGCGGCGGCCGCACACCGGGCAGCCCCGGGCATCGCCGCGCCACCCGGGGCCTGGCGCCCGGGCCCTGCCCCCGAGTCGGGGCGGGAGGCTCGGCGGCGGCGCCCGCTTCCGAAGTGCCCGGGCGGCCCCTCTCCCTCCTGGCCCAGCGGGGAGCGGCGGGACCCGGGGACGGCGCGCCGCGAGCCGGCAACTCCGCACCGACTCCTGGCGGCCGCCGGGGCCGGGGCCGGGCCGGGGTGGGGGAGGGCCCGGGGGCCGGGGCCGGAGGGCCGTGCGGGGGCCCGGCCGCGCGGTACTCACTGCAGTAGGCGATGAGCAGGCTGGCCAGGATCATGAACGCCCAAAAAGTTGAGGACATGCTGGGCAGGGCGGTCGCATCTTGCCGGCTGCTGGTCCTGGGCGATGGCGCCATTGAAGCCGCGGCGCCCGCGCGGGGGGCAGCAGCGCGTCTCAGCAGCCGGCCCTGCCCGCGCCCCCGCGCCGGCCTCCACGTGCGGGCCCCGCGCGCGCCATCCTCCGCC